ATCTCAGACCTTCATTTATTGAAACCCACGGCACAGGCATGGGGGTGGCAAATCTTCAAAAACATTATCGTGCCGACCAACATAAAAATAATCTTCCGAAAGAACTGGTGCTGGGAAGCCACTGTTGCGAGAAATGGAGTTTGTTGAAAGAGAAACAACTTGTTTAAAGTGAAGTAATGTATGAAGACATTTCGCTCAGATTCAAGTCTGAAATAGCCAATGACAGCCATAAAGGCTAACATTTGACTTTGATCAAGAAACAACAAAACTGCAAGATGTAAGTGGGAAAGCTGTTACATGCCAATGCCCTTTAAGATCTTCACCACAAGTCCAAACATCAGTCTCTCGATTGCAGCTGATAAGTTGATATTTCCGCTTAGAATTACATCCGATAAAAGCAGAGTCAATACAGACTCAAATGGCGTGATGCTGATTTCAGATGAGTCCTGTGTTGGTCGTGTTTCGGAATATAAAATCTTCCTATATTAACAAATGTAGCTAGCTTAATTGTTTCTTATTGAAAACACCGAATATGGTAAACGTGCGACACAATTACAGGTTCCAGAAACGGTACGTCGATTCCAGCAGGAAGGCTCAATTTCTACCCTCATAAAAAGCTCGTTAAAACTTCCTGGCTGCAGTGATTATATTGCGTAACTTCCGCATTTACGTTTGGTGAAAGTGCTGACGGAAGAGAGCCATCGTGACCTAGGGAAGCTTACTTAAGTTTCTAACTTCCAAACGTGGACGTGCTTCATCATATATACGTCTGTGGTGTAATGGAGCAGCCATTGCAACGGTGGAAAGTGAATATCGGAGTGCTGACCATCCATCCACACCAGTGATTAACATGTTAAACATCGGCTAACGTTGTCATCTGGCCATCTGATCGAATTTTATCTGTTATTACTAGTGGTGTTCCGATTAATTGAAATAATCGAAGATTGGTCGCAGTGGCCAAACGACCAAGCAATCGATCACATTTTCTCATAATCGAACACAAAAGATTTTGGAACCGCTGTAATAGAGTTTGAAATACTTGATGAGAGAACATATTTAGGACGTTGTCAGGGCCTGAAAACGTGTTTATTTCTAAGAAAATTCACTTCACTTTCTGAAAAGTCATGACTGAATATTTCTTGAAGAATCTGGGAAGTTTATGTTACACTGGAACTGAATCATTTTACACTGGATGTGAAATTTGCAAATGTAATTTGTGAGTTTCAAAAAACAACTGAGAACCAAATGCAACTCCAACCTGAAAAGGAAAATCTAAAAAATGACGCGAACCAATTTTTTTCGATGATTGGTCGTTGGTATTGAACCAATCATCAATTGTGAGATTTCAACCAATTCCCAACACTAGTTATTACCACAAGTACTGGACTACTGGGGTTGTGTTCTAACCGTGAATAAACCTTCACCTGAGACTGTCACACCACAGTCCCACACGCCAGGGATTCCAGGAGGAAGGATCTATTTCTACCATCACATAAAGCCAGCTGAAACCTTTACCTGACTGCAGTGATTATATTGTGAAACTTCTGAATTTCTATTTGGTGAAAGCGGTAATGGGAGAGAGCCATCGTGACCCAAGGAAGCTTATTTAAGTTTCTAGCTTCCAAACGTTGACATTGATCAACATTGTCCAGACTCGATTATTTACAGATCACCGCCATATAGCTGGAATATTGCTGAGTGCGGCGTAAAACTAAACTCACTCACTCACTCATTATTTCAAGCCTTTTTCAGTATATAGCTAATCAAAGTACTTTGGAACCTGGCAAAAAATAGTTTTGGTGACCAAAGGAGATGGGTAAAACATTTTGATAACTTTGTGATTACTTCTGTCAATACTTGTAATCTTTCCATGCATTCAAGTTGTACAAAGACATTTTAGGGGGAAGTGTGTTAATAAAAATAACATCAAGATGATAATTTTATCTACGTTGAATTTTCAGGTTTCATAAAATAAACCAAGTGTAATAAATGTGTAAAAAGTTACATAATAATTCAATGATAAGTAAATAATGATTAATATAATACATACAAATCCTTATTAACAGATGGATCCAAGGAGGGTGGCGCAGTTGCTTGTGCCACTGTCATTGGACCCAGAACAATATCCTCAATACTCAGTGTACAAATAATTAAAGATCATTATATTAAAGTTAATTATCATTTGATAAATGGGTTTTTTTTAAAAATAGAATTGTTGGAATAATTTTGAATAACGTGGGTTTTTTTGTAAATAGAACAATGGTGTTGTAAAATCATTGTCCTCCTGAGAGGGTATGTAAGACCAGGCCATTAAAATATGCTTAATCTGAACACATGTCTAATCGTAGCATATATATTGTTTTAATTCATGGCTAAATTTGTCCAAATTGCCAACAGCTGAGGGGATTATGTAGGGTCCATGCTGGAAGCGAAGGTACTGTAAGTACCCATGGTCCTTAGTACGGTGATCTGCCTTCAGTTGCTGGCGATCTACAGACCGTTTTTATATTATATTGTCCTGATCGAAATCAAATCAAATTTTAGAAATAGATGCTAGTTTTAAAATTCTGTTGCTGTGATATTCTAGTTGGTTTTGTTGTCCTTCGTCGACAGGTATTTCCATTTAACTGTGTTTATAACAAATATATAAATAGTTTGTCACCATATACTGCCGATATGACTATCATTTGTAATTTACTCACTCACTACTTGCCGTCATGAAAAGATTAAAAAATAATAGAACAGCATACAGTCTAAATCATCAAAGGGCACCAGTTCGACCCTAGGCTGATGTGTATAGTCAACGGTTTGGGGGGTTTTCGTTGGAAACGAAGGCCTGTGGACAGACATGCTGACTGCTACATTGCTGTCCCAACCCGTTCAGTTTCACGCGAGGGCGGTGAAGTAGCCTAATGGTTAAAGCGTCCACTCGTCACGCTGAACAACCGGGTTCGATTCCCCACATGTGAAGCCCATTTGGTGTCCCCGCCGTGACATTCCTGGAATATTGCTAAAAGCGGCGTAAAACCATAATCACACACTCAGTTTCAAGCGGGGAAATATACTTGAAGGATTACACTCAAAGTAGGATAGTCAGACAGATCATCTTTATTTCCTCCAAAAAATATGGAGATTGTTACATATTACAACAATATTACAAGTTGAATATACATTGAAACAATACACAGTTTATTGTGGGAATAATTTGGAGTGACAGACAGTCATAAAATCAGACACCAATAGCATAACTTTCTCCCATCCTGTCATATTTAAATTAACAAATGTTGTCCACCAAGCAAATCAGCAATTACTGCATCGTCATCATTTCCCGAGATTTCAACAAAATCAGAAACTGATATGATATCATATATCCTTTCAAACATTTCCTTTCTCAGATGATTGAGAACTGTACAAGACATAATAACATGTTTGACAATATCAGGTGTACCAAGGAATGAGTGAGTGAGTGAGTTTGATTTTACGCCGCTTTTAGCAATATTCCAGCAATATCACGGCGGTGTATACCAAGGAGCACAAGCGGACAGTTCATTGTTGAGTTGCATAGATAGAGATGGTATAGAAACCGCCACAAATATGTTGTGCGTCCCCTGCACATTTATAATTACATCGATCATCTGGTAGCTTCGGATAGGCCGGGCTTATAGCATTATCACAGAAGCAGCTCTGAGAATGCTGAAATATAACACAATGACGTATAGTGGCAGAGGTGAGGTTAACTAGATTAAATGTGAGATAGACGCTGTTGGGATTCGATGCCATGCATAAGCCTGACCACGTACTGTTCATAGGAGGTTCAGTGGAATACAATATACTGAAGTGTAACATTATTATTCCTAGAAAATGTAGTCAAGTGTCACATAATTGTTGATAGATGTAGTGAAGTTGAATATTATTGTTCACAGAAGATGAAGTGAATTGTTACATTATTGCTCATAGAAGATGTAGTCAAATGTCACATTATTGTTCATAGAAGATGTAGTGAAGTGTTACATTATTTTATCATAGAAGATGTAGTGAAGTGTAACATTATTGTTCATAGATGTAGTGAAGTGTAACATTATTGTTTATAGATGTAGTGATACGCCATCTTCCCGTTAAGGTGATCGTTACTCCCATACATAGGCGGCAACCATCGCAGCGTCAGGAACACTGTATGGAACAAACCCCCACATACCGTTCCGTCATGGTAACTTACCTCTGTTCCAGCAAACGGGTAGCCAAGGGTACGACAGTGGCTGACGCATATGTCGTTAGTCATGTTAGTCCAATCCAAGCCTGCATAATCCAATATACGACTTTCATTGTCGGTAAAACACCCATGATAATCTACAAAGAAAACAAGTGAGAGTTATGAAAGACGATACACGCCGTCTTCCGGAGCCGTTCACCGAAGTGATCGTTCTGCTGCCAGCGTAGCTAAAAGCGGTGTAAAACTAAACTCACTCACTCACTGTAGATCATGCATTGAACATGTCTGAAAGTTGTTTCCAATTAACGGATCAAATGCCGAAATAATAGGAACAGTTCTTGTTCACTGGAAGTCGCCAATATTGAAGTTACAGAAACCTCCGAAATACTTGCATAAAACTTGTCTTTCTTCAAATTGTTGACACAAAGATTGTCTGACATGTAAATGTACTTAACAACGAGTCTGCTTTCTTTCTGTTCTAAGAGTTTATCGGTCTGGCTCATATTAGTCTGAAAGTCTGTATTGTACCACATATTTGTATGGCGTTTGTCAACATATCCCACTAATCAAGAGTCAAATATTCCAAAAATGCACCAAAAAGCTATAAAATCAACTATGTGTATGTTTGCTCACATTAACCTTGCATATGTATATATTTAATGATGTTATTAAACATAAAGGTTTAGAAAGATGCCGATACCCATCCATAAGCATACATCGGATATCATCATGTTTATTTCATTCACTGAACCCTTTGCTCCTTTCTTAAAATCTCTTCGGATCCTGAGGGTCAACAGAACAGTTGTCGTGTGTTGTCCTTTGTGTCTTGCATTGACTTACATTTGAAGCACGACCATGTGTGCATGGAGTACTTGTGATCGGTGGAACAGTTGCAGATCCCGTCAACACAGCCAGTTGCAGGGGCAAGACAGTCTCCAGCAAGGGCACACGCTGAGCCCATGTGATTTGTCGCTGGAATAGTGATGGACATCATATCATGAGAAAATCTTCACGAACAAAGCCAAGTCTTCTGGATAATCTGCATGTGTCAAGGCAAAGACAAAATGCGTTGTTCGATAGCAAGGTTTTCACTTACTCAGCATTACTCGTGCGAAATGACGACCCAGCCAATATAAGAATAACACATTTGGACCTCGGAGAGTTGGAGGTTTCTTTCGATTCCGTCTATATTTGTTGTGGAGGATCCATTGTATGTTTTGTTCATGTCACTTTAAAATAAAAACTCTGATTTACCGATTGAGAAACGGAGGCCAACTATGAAATTTAAGAAATAATTTCCACAGAATGATTACATGAAATATTCCTGCCACTCTTATTCGACTCTTCTTTGCATGATGCTAACTGTAACGTGTAGGCTGCTGCTCGAACACTGGAGGAAATCACTACAGTTTTCAAAGAACCGAAAACTGGCAATAATCTAAGTCATCCAGAAAAAAGATAATCGGTTTCAGCTACATGCGCTGACTGAGAGAGTACTGTGCCACAAAGTGCTTTAGGATTGTATTGTGGTGCCACAGGAAACAACCCGGAAGTAGTTATACGTTAAAGTATTGTGTATTAAATCCAGCATCAAATCAAGCCCGCCAACCAGTCCGACCACCTCCGCTCAAACATCTAACCATATGATGATAACAATAATTGTGAATTTACAAGGCACATGCTCAAAGCACTAACACACAATCTGATTATCATTACCCCAGATAAGCCAAGCTGCCTGTAAGGCGCTAGGAGGTTAATGTTCCCATGGCCTATCCCACCGGGTACCGATTTTCTGCTGGGTGAACAGAAGCAATTTTGAACAAACCCACTTGCCTAAGGTGAGACCACATGTATCACATGTGCTTCGTTGTGGGGCAGGACTGAAGTCCTAGAAACTCTCAGGAGTCAAGCTGCCAAACACGGTCACCAATCGAAGGACTCTCCGCGCCCAACGTTGGTTAACTTCAACTATCTCAGTTAACAAAATACCTTGCTGTATTAACCACCCCTTGCAGCAAATTCAGTGGAAGCACAAACAGAAAGACAATATATAACACAAAGATGACCATAGCAAAACATGTCATTGATAACATTTACCTCACTGCGTCAACAGTCAAGCTTCCAATACAGACCTTGTCACGGTGTTTAATTTGATCTAACTTGAGATGACTGAGGTTCCAGACCTTCAAACTATCTGGGTATATTGTAAGAGGCACATTCTCAGACCATTGTTATCTCCCATTCTAAATATAGTAACCAGCACGTCTTTGCCCTTGACAGAAACAATGTAATACATATACAACACTGTTTCACGTACATATCCTTTGTAATTGTGAATATGTCTTTGTTGTTTAACGTTGCACTCTGATGGTCGGAGTCAATCCAGGGATTGATATTATGGGCTAACATTCACGCCGTCAAACAAGACACAGAGACTCACCACCGATCTTCTGAAGACCAATGATTATGACTATCAGTATAAACAAACATGTGATGAAAACACTCACCTCTGCATGTCACGTATAGTTTAGTCCCATTTTCCGCAGATGTCTGGACGATGGTTGGCGACGTGAAACCAGAGGCGTACCCGCGGCATAGCTTGGTGACTTCGTTGTATTGGAAACTGAGGCAGGGGACATCCAGCTGGCAGAGCCTGTAACATTGGTCCTGTCTCGGGGCTTGCTTCGTCCACATCTTGTACTCCAGGACCATCAAGTCGTCAAAAGATGGGACATATCTCACTTCACACTCCTCACACCTACTGTTGACAAACTGCTTTTGTTTCACAACATACGTCATCAATAGAGCTATAGCATATACTCCAACAGACATCAAACTCATTTTGAATATCTCATGTAATTCTGTTTCGCTATGTCTATTTATTGCCTTTCGCCTGCAATCTTTTAACTCATTGGAACGAAACGGAAGAATGCTGGATATACTTACGGCAAAATCCCGTGAGAGCACTGCCATCTTTAGAGGGCAGGCGTGAATGCACACGGACAAAGCTGTTCCTTTTTAATCCATTAGTCGGCGGGTACATCGTTTGCAATATATACTGAAAGGCAAAAGAAACGTCGTAATATTTGAAATGACATTTGGAGTATTTGAACCTATTTTTTTTAAATATACACCAGAAGTCAAGTTTGAGGAAACATGAATCGTGGTCGTATAGCCTGCATTGCCCAATAAAGTATTGTTGGAGATTGAAGTTAGAAATGTTTTTGTTTTTGGAGAGGAAGGAGTTCCCACAAGCACAACATTGAAATCGAGATGCACGTGCATCATAAATGCATTCAGGCATAAATTGCCGGCTTGAATGGCAGTCGTTCACTTGTTGTCTGAACACAGCAGCTATGGCTAGGTTAACGAGAGATCAACGACAACAAGCCATTGGACGTCTACATGCTGGTCAACATGCTCGAGTCATTGCTAATGACTTCAATTGCAGCGCACGAACGATAGAACGTCTTAGAGAGCGATACAACGCCACCAGCAGCACTGATGACCGTCCACGTAGTGGTCAACCCCGTGTAACAACACGTCGCCAGGACCGTCATATCGTCCATCAACACGTGCAAGACCTATTCGCAAGGGGAAGAGAAACAGCTTGGGTGACCATAGGAAACCACCAGCGACCAGTCAGTGACCGAACCATTCGGCGACGTCTCCAATTCAGGAACCTGTTTTGTTGACGTCCTGCCAGGAGACCCATATTCACCCAACGTCACCGCCGGGAACGTCTCCAAGTGGACACAACAGCGGCAAAACTGTCGTGGGGGACAATGGAGAGGGGCTATCTTCTCTGATGAAAGTCGGTACTGCATTTCAGTGGCGTAATATTTTAAAAACATAGGTTCAAATATTCCATTGATACTTAAATGTCATTTCCAATATTACAACATTTCTTTGCCTTTCAGTATATTATTTATTCTGCCAGCACACTAATAATAATGTGTCCATTTATATAGCGCCAAACTCCACACTAGGTATGCTCATAGCGCTAACAATCAAGGCTCAGACTCAGACTCAGGATTTTATTCTCATAAATCATACAAAATGATATCGAGAACATACATATATTTTGATAAATACAAAGTGCCATTTTGGCTTATATGCATATGAATATAATATAAATATATAACTAAAACAGGGATAATCCAATTTTCGTTAAACGTGACAGTTTCTGTACCAAAGGATGATAGTCAGATTTCATAAGGGAAACAAATTTATCAATATGGGGGTTATTACAAAAATAGCTATGGAGTATACTTTTTCTTACATCATCTAGAGCTCTGCATGATAATACAATATGAAATTCGTCACATATAACAGGCTGGTTACAAATTGTACATATTCTATTTTCTGTGTCTGTATTATACCATCTGCCGGTTCCAATCGGTAATCTGTGATTGCATGTTCGCAGTTTTGTTAACCAGATACGTTGTTTCAGTGGGAGACTGATTAAATAAGGTTCTAAGTTGGGAGTATGCTTATATAAGGAGTAGTATTTACCTTTTCATGAGTTTTGAAGGTCAGCATTCCATGATTGCTTAAACTGATCTATAAGTGTGTATTTAACGTATTTTTTTTAGCCAGGATGCGGAAGGAAACCTTTGGGACTGCCATATATAAGATAACCCAACTTTTTGAAGTATACTTTTCACTACATTTAAAAGATCAAATTGAATACCCAAACAAGTTGACACATTAGCCATTACATTATACACTATATGAGGAAACTTATGTATTGATGTAATGACTTTACACCAGTAACTTATTATTCTTGTTTTAATCATTACTTCAATAGGATATCTACCGAGTTCCCCATAAACCATAAAATTTGGAGTAGATTGTCTTACCTTAAGTATATACTTACAAAATTTCAGATGCGTTCTTTGTAAAGGCACAGCACATTATTACCCCGGATAACCCAAGCTGCCTGTTAGGCGCTAGAAAGTTATAGTCATATGACTTTTTCCACCGGGTACCCATTTTCCTGCTGGGTGAACAGAGACAATTTTGAACAAACTCACTTGCCTAAGGTGAGACCACATGTGTCACATGTGCTTCGTTGAGGGCAGGACTCAAGTCCTAGAAACTCTCAGGAGTCAAGCTGCCAAACACGGTCACCCATCCAAGGACTCTCCGAGCTCGACGCTGCTTAACTTGTGACCTGAGCTTTGAGCACAGGACCACGCGCCACCACCAATTCCGTGGGAATTCCTTTCTTAAGTGGCACTGAGAAGCTGCTATGATGAAGAGGAACATCATTTACTTGATAACAGTGTTAGGATCTACACCGAAACGTCGCATCCACTGCAATACAGAAGTTGTCTCTCCATAAATAATGTTCCTCTCAGTGGGAATTACATGTTAATTGTTGGAACCAATACTAACTGTAATCACTTTTGTGCATGGATTCAGAAAAAAACATGGTTCTATTTTTTCTGTTTGCTATAAGTGTCATTGTAGGGTGATTGAATATGAGTTCCCAAATTTGCTTGCGACACCATTTCGATAAAACAATATTTACATAAACTTATCACAACAATTTTAATGTAGCATATCAAAAGATAACTGATGATGCATGATCTAGAAATAACCTTACAATATGCTTGTAATTTCAATTTGGTGACATAAAATATGACATAATCGTATAAAGGCTATGAGGTTAAACACAAGTCCCGTCCATCACGTGGTGGGGGTGAGGCCATTGTTTACAAGTTGTTTCTCAGCGTGAAATGCTTGATGATGCTTCTTCTGTCTCCTCTTTTGAAAGCCCTGCTACGGCTGTCGTAACAGCTGGCAAAACTGCAATACATTTTGTTGCCTGGTATCGACCACCTCCCTCTTCCAGCAATATACAATTCCATGACGAATTCTATGTATTGCTGGAAACAAAGTGTACCCTGCATTTAAGACTCATTGCCTTTGGAGGTTTTAATGTTGACTTTAATAACGAAGGCAGTATACAATGCCTCAAGAGGAGAAAACTCCTTGAATCCCTGCAGTGCATACAGTTGGTAAAAGTTCCAACACACAAGAGTGGGCACAATCTGGATTGGGTTGTGTCTATTAAGGATGTGTGCTGTGTTGTGGACACAACTGTAATTGACCTCCAAATATCTGATCACTATTTGGTTTCCTTCTTCTTGGACACAGCGAAGCCTCCTCTTCCACAGAAGCTCATAAAGTACAGAAACATAAAGGGTATTGACCACTCTGCCTTCAGTGGTGCTCTATCGGCCAGCAGCCTCGTGCTTTGTCCGCCCACTGATCCGAATGAACTCGCAAATCTGTACAACTCTGTGCTTTGTGAAACCTTGGATAAACATGCACCAGCTAGTAACAAACGGATAACAGACACATCTGTTACGCCATGGACGATGACAACAGAAGTACTAGCTGCTAAACAGAGGCGTCGCCGTGCCAAGAGGACGTGGAGACGTTCATGCCTTGAAGTGGACAGACAAATATTTTGTGAAGCCAGAAACTCCTGAAGGTCACCTCTGAAATAAGGTGAGCTAAGCAAGCATCCCTCAATAGTGAAATCACTGCATCAATGCATGATTCTAAATCATTACACAGACCTATGTCCCGTCTGTGGACATAGGCAAGGTTTCAACGCACCCTCTTCCGTCTTCCACAGCGCCGCCAGCAGTTTTTCAAGAACAAAATCCAAAAGATCCGTGACTCTATGGCAGATGGAAACACCATTCTGTGTCTGACCCTAGTGAAGTTGATCTGGAACCTATCAGTAGGTCCATTGACAGTAGTGTTCGTAATCAGCAGAAGCTCACTAAATTCAGATCTTTCAGTGAGGAGGAAGTACTCAAGCTGATCAAGAGACTTAAACCAACATCATGTGCTCTGGATCCTTTACCAACGTCCGTGCTGTTAAACAACCTTGACGTCCTTCTCCCAGTCTTGACGGTTATCATCAATACGAGCCTTGAATCTGGTGAAATGCTTCATGTCTTCAAATCAGCACTTGTAAAACCATTGCTGAAAAAGCCAAACCTGGATTGTGATGAATTTAGCAACTATAGACCGGTTTCTAACCTCACCTATGTCTCCAAGCGCAATGAACGTGCAGTGTGTGTTTGACTGTCAGAACATCTCCAACAACACGATTTGTATGACAATCTCCAGTCTGCATATCGTGGTCATCACAGTACTGAGACGGCACTAGTCAAGGTCCTCGATGATCTGAGGCGTGGTGTTGATGAACACAAGTTGGTATATTAACCCTTCTCGATTTAAGCAGTGCCTTTGATACCATCGACAATTACAAACTCATCAATCGTCTCAGGGGTGATTTCTCCTTTGACGGAACACCTGTTACTTTGTTCCAGTCGTATCTGTCGGGTCGTGTTCAGACCGTCATCATTGATGAGCATTACTCTAAGTCGGCCAGCATCAAGTATGGTCACATTGTACATAACAGAAGCGTAATTGATGAGCACCGTGTGAAGCGTCATCACTATGCAGATGATGCATAGGTGAACAGATGCTTCACTCCTGACAAGGACCAAACAGATATTGCCTCGAGAGGCATGCCCCAATGCTGTGTCGGTATCAAATCCTGGATGCTAGTAAATAAACTAAAATTTCATAGCAGCAAGACCGAATCTATTCTCCTGGGTCCAGTGAAACGGAGGGATCTGTGTGCTATTGATTCCTTCGAGTTCGACAACTCACATATTCCTTTTTTCAGATCAAGTCAGAGATCTTGGTGTAATCCTAGACTCAGATTTGTCACTTGACAATCATGTCTCTAGTTTAGTTAAGACCTGCTTCATCTCACTCCGGAACATTGGCAATATCGGTCAATACCTGACTACTGAAACAGCA